CTGACAAGAGACTATATATGTATGTATATGTATAACTGAATCACTTTGCTGTACAGCTGAAACTAACATTGTAAATCAACTACACTTCAATACAATTTTTTTTAAATAAAGCATATCGCATTAAAAAAAGAAACAAACAAACAATGCACTGTGCCCAGGCATAGGTGAGTGGAAGATGTTAAATTTCAGCTGACACCTTGAGTCCCCTCATGGGAAGAGGACAATTCTACTGAAGCTAGAGGGAACTGATTTGGGCCCAGATGACAGGACTTCCTATCTCCAACTGGCCCAACGATGGCAGGGGTGACATGGAAAGTAGCAAGCAGGCCATTGAGGGGGCCTCAGGGCAGGGTCAGTGCGCTCTTGCTACAGACTCATGGAGGGACTGACCCACAGGTGGAGGGAAGCTCCCCAAGGTTCCTAAAGCAGCCTACCGTCCTGCAGCCCGGTCTTGCTCTAGGGTCCTGGGGCCAGCAGACTCGTGGCTTTCCTGCTCAGCTGTCAGCTGATTTGTGTCAGTAACAGTGAGGAGCAAGCACCCCCACTCACCTCTGAGCCTCGGTGTGTGGCCTCCACTCACCACGTGGAATATTTCCATGGTGGAAAGCAGGACCTCAGACTGGAAGTCTTGCTTCTGTTGGCTGGTGGCATTGTCTGGACAAGCCTGGAAGCAAACCCTGGACTAAGATAGCAGCCACATGGCCATCAGGTCCACTCAGGGCCAACCGGGTGCCCCTATTGGGCAATATGTTAATACTGTGGCAGCTGGAGTGTGGGCTGCCAACAGCTCCCAACTGCCTCTTCTCTGGGGCATGGCCCTCTGCTGACCAAGTTGCCTCATCCACCTCCCCAGGGCAAGGTGGCAAGGGGTTGGGGGTCCACAGCCAGGGACCACCTGGCAGGTGCCTCAAGGTGGGGCTGACTCTGGGATGGGACTAGGCTACTGCCGAGGCCATTTCCTCCCTCCTCCTCCTCCTCCTCATCCCTTCTCTGCTTTCCTGCCCCCAGTAAACCACTTCCACAAAATCCCTGCCTCAGGCTCTGCTTCCAGTAGATCTGGCTAAGACCTGCCCTCGTTCATAAATTCACTTGCTGCTGGGTGAGCTCCCTGCTCTGCCCGGGCCTGCAGTTCCCTCCCACCAATCTCTGCAGTCCCAGAAGGCGTTCCTGACCACCAGCCAGCTGGCCTGGGTGAGCTCTCACAAGGGGTCAGCCCTCGGGTCTCCCTGGGCATACCCCGCCCTCGTGGTGCCCAGGCCCTCCCAGCCCCTCTCCCACAGCCCACAGCTCAGTAACACCCTTTCCAACCCACCTCCAGGAGCACCTCCAGTGGCAGCCACTGCTTAGGGTTGGGAGCCATGAGCAAGAGCTCCTTCAAGAGCAGATGCATGAACTCCCTCAGCTGCTTCCGCGTGGGATGTGACTCGGCAGGAGCCTGGAGACCCTCCGCAGCGCTGCTGCCTTCAGCCGCAGCCCCGGGACTGGGAGCGTTCTGGGCAGGCTCAGTCACAGCCCCCTCAAAGACAAGAGAACCCCAGCGTGAGCAGCCTGCCCAGCCTCAAAGCGCTTTCACGCCCACCTCTGAGGTGCGCACGGTGGGGTCACCATCAAACCCACTGACGTGTAAGGAACCTGAGGCTCCGAGGAGGTAGGAAGTTCTCCTGGGGTCCCAGGGCTCCTCACCACACCAGGTCCTGCTGAGGTCTCTGAATCCGAGGCAGTGGGAGTGGTGGAAGGAAGCTGGCCGCAGAGCAAGGGAGACCTGTAGTCCCAGCGAGGAAGCCCGGGATGTGTCCTGGGCAAGGCGTTATCCTCCTCGGAGCCACAGTCCCCATCAGTCAAGAGGTAATGATAAAAAGGCTCTCACAAAGACGCAACGAGGGAACAGTGCACGTGGCAATGCCTGGCCCCAGTGTACCATCAGGAAAGCATGTCCCATCTTCCTGTGGAGCCCTCACCTTTACTGCCTGCCAGGCTCTGCTGACGTTGACAGACAGGACCCTCAGGTGAAAAGAGAAATAGAGCTTCAGCCAGCCCTGGGGTCCCAGCCCTGCAGCACCTTGGCCTTCACTGTCTCAGTTTTACATTTATTAAAATACTGGGAGATAGACGGGGTGGGGTCATCAGCCCGGTACGTCCAGGAGGACACGGAGATGCTGGGAGGCTGAATGACATGCCCAAGGACATGGGGCCAGGGTCTCCTGACTCCCAGCCCATGGACTTTTCACACGTTCATCTGTTGGCACCTCCCTTCACTCATTCATAAAATTAATGCAGCCATTCTTAATTAAGCCATAAAATGAATTTAACGGCACCTAGGGAGGTGGTGACTGCATTAATTAGCTCCATGCGGCCTTGACTGGAAAGATGCCACATAAAATCACAGCAAATCAAAGCCTTCTGGTCACCAGCCTTCTGCATGAAGAGTCTCTCATGTTTTCTGTGCAAACAAAGGCCTTTTGGAGAGGACCTGGAGCTGAAATGGGGAGAGGAGCCCTGGGGATTAAGAGCTCTGGAACTGGGGGCGGGCTCACCCACCACAGGCTGGGAGGTGACTTTGGGCCAGGCCCTCCCTCGGGCAGGAACTACTGAGCACGCGGAGGAAGAGCCCTGGGTCAGAGTGCGCTCTGTGGCTGCCGGTGCGCAGCCGGCTGGAACCCTGACTCAGCAGATGGAGGGTCTGGCCTGTGGGTGCAGGGGCTGAGGTGGGGATCTGGGCTGAGAATGTCAGGCTATCGACTTCGGAGCCCTGGCCCTCTCTGGGTAGGGGGAGTAGTGAGGGCCAGCCTTCCTTCCTCCCTGCCTGGCCCGGGGCACCTGTGTGTGGGGTCCCATCCCCCATCCCTTCCAGTACTGCCTGCAGTGCCTTCCTTTTCTCTTTATTGATTCTTTTTTACTTCCTTTTCTACTACGTTGCTTTAGTTGCTATTAGCCCATCAAATCATTTCCTCTTTTTGCAAATCTTCTAGTCATTTTATTAAAACTAATTACTCTTAAATTTTATTTGGCTATTTAATCTTATTTTAAACGCAATGATGGAAAGGACATGGGCTTTGGGGTGAGAGAGTGAGGTTTAAATCTTGGCTCTGTCACTCACTAATCACGTAAGCTGTGGTATGTTTCATCCCCTCACCATTTTGTGGGATGGGTCTTACAGCCCCACTGAACCAGGAGGAAACTGGTCAGTTTCACCTCCCCGAATCTCTTTCCACTTTAACACCGCCTGCATCGGGTGCCCGTTAGGGTGTGTGAAGCCCCAGGTCAGGACCATTGCAGGTGTTCAGTAGATGGAGGCTGTCACCATGAACGCACTGCTAGAAAAGATTAGCTTAAAGAGCATGACCATTCACTCACTTCATCTATTAGCAAACAATTATGGAGCAAACACTACCTGTGTGCACTGTGCCTGGCATGACTTCTAAACCCTCTACTTACCAACTGTGCCTAGCATGTTCCTTTGGCTACTGGTTTGCAGCCAGGTGTGGCTAACTCACTCTCCCAGGCTGGGTCTCAGCTCCTACTCCACCAGCGTGGGGTGATGAGCAGGCCTGTGCCCCTCCTCCTCCTACACCTGCCCTTCACTGGTCCCCACCTGCTCCTCTCAACTCCCAGATGCTCTCAGCACAGAGTCCCCTGGACCTGCTGGGACTGGCTCTTGGTCTCAAACTCACTCACCTCTCTTCCCATAGCACTTCACTCTCATCTCTCTACCCCCACAGTCAGACCTCGTCCTCAAGACCCAGTCGGTCCCTTTGCCCTCCCAGCTGGGCCTCGGCAAACCCTCCGATGGCCGCAAACAGGAAGGGTCCTGAGAAGACAGGACGCTGTTGCAGTTCCGCCCCTCCCCTGCAGGGGGCGCCGGCCATGAGCTTCCTGGGATCGACTGTGTTGTTTGCATTATCAGCGTGTGGGTATTCCACATAAAACTGGACTCCATCTACCATCAAATTTCTCATTACTGAGATTCCTAACAACTCAAAAAGTTACTGAATCGCAAGCCGAAAATGTCCTGAAGCTGCATCTTTGCCAAGAGAAGGAAAATCACCCAAGTTTTTTGCTTAAGGTTTCAGCCAAGTTGCCTTAAAGTGTATTTTAATTTGCAGGTGGTGGACCAGGGGTGGGGATAGGGAGGAATTTTGCCCTTCACCCTTGAGGGACAGTGCCGCTCAACCCTGGCTCTCATGGGGCGGGGAAGAGGCATGTCCTACCTTAGGGGCTCCCAGGGGGAAGGCGACTGCGGCCAGGGTCTGGAGGAACTCCGGGGCACGCCAGGCCGGATCCTGGGGGTAGGCGCTGTGCACGAGGCCGAGGAACTGCAGCACGCTGGCCGGGAAGGTCCGCTCCCACGCGCCGTCTCCAGAACCTGTCGAGGGCTGAGGGCACACTTGGTGAGAGGTGGTGAGTGGGTGCGTGACTTGGGGGGCTGCACAGGAGGACCTAAAATCTAGGCAGAAGACCTCCTTTCTGAGACTCTCAACAAGATACCTCATTGCAAGACACTGAAAACTGTGGATTAGCAGGGATACTGGTCATCACCTGGGGCAGGGTTCAAGGGCTTCACACAGATTCCTCTTCTCACCTCACAACAACCCCCTGAGGTAGGTTTTACATGTATCTCTATTTTACAGATGGGAAGACAAAGGTACAGAGAGGCTGAGTAGCTTGTTGATGTTCACCCAGCAGGCAAGGGGCAGAGCCGGGAACTGAACCCAGGCAACCTGGCTGTCAAGTCTGTCTTCCCCATGTGGTAAGACATGGCTTCTGTGAACAAGAAACTTGCCAATTAGGGTTGACCCCAGCCTTCACTGGCTCCATGCTAACACCCCCAGCTCTAGCTCCTGCCCTGGCTGATACATGGATAAATCCTGTCCGAGGCTGCCAGGGCTTAAGGAGCCCCCTCCCCACCAGTCAGGGGTCTGGAATGGATCATGTGGCACTGAGGTGATATCCAGTGCCCTGAGGGGACCTGGGCACCTGTCTGCCCCACACTATAACCTGGTCTTGGCCACCTGGCGCAGCTTCCATCCTGGCTGCACCCTAGTGCCCTGCTGGAGCCCAGCTCCCCTGACCAGCTGTGTCCTGTCACTGATCCCAACCCCAGTGTATCCAGCTGCTGCCTGAGGTCCTTCTCTGTCCTGGATAGCCAGCCTGGAACTTGAAAATTGACCAAGCTTAATATCAGGGTCACTCCCTACCTAGCCACGCCAACAACCAGACTGAGTGACCCTCAGCCCACTCTTGCGGGTGTTCCAGGCAGACGTCGTGTCTTCCGTTGGCCAGTTACTCAGCCCCAGGCCCTCCCACTCACAGCTTCCTCATTTACCCCACCAGCCTTCAGTCCTGGCCCCGCGTACATGAGTCAGGATGTCCCGATAACCAAGTAAATACCAAATGCCTAGAACCGAGCCTCATTCTAGAAAACTCAATCCTGACTGAAAAAAGAAAGGGGACAACTAAAGAGAGGTTTAAGACCTCTTTGCCAAGATCTTGTGGGTTTGGTTTCAGCTGAGCAGGCAGGCAGAGGGAAACTGCTCCTGGAGTTACCTGCATCTGGCGTCTCCACCGAGTTCTTACAGCACAATATTAGATTTAGAGGAAGTACCAGAGGTCGGAGTTCAGAGACCTTTTTCTGGAGTTAGTCTGCCGCTTACTAACAGTATAGCTTTGTATCACTTTCTTAATCCCCTTACACATCCAGTCCCAACTCTGCAAGACAAAGATTGTACTATGACCTATTTCATAAGGTCATGAGAATTAAATGAGACATTTTAGTGCTTCAGGCTTATTTTCACAGTGAGGAGCACAGGGTAAAAATAGAGGAAGTTGGGAGATAAAGTCAGATACAGAGGACTTGAACTTTGGGAAGAAGGATTTGAATTTGATGCACTGAACAACAGGCACCCCCTGAAGGCCCTTAGGCAAGGCAGTGCCCTGGGATGAAATGCTAACACTGGACACACGTGCCTCCACCATGCCCTCACTCTGTGACCCTGCCTGAGTGGGTTAACCTCCACGGCTTCAGTGTCTACATTTGCACGAGGGAGATAATTCCGTCTTTTCCAAAGGATAGCTGCACGCAATAAAATGGCTAACATCTACAAGATCAATAATGCTAAATACTGACAAGGCCTGGGAACAACTAGAACCTTCGCAGACTAAGAGCTGGTGAGTGTAAACTGGCACTTCACTTTGGAGAACTATTCTGCAATATCTGCTAAAACAAGTCACGTGTACAGCTGGTGACCCACAATTTCACTCCTGGGTATATTTCCAACAGAAAGGATTATGTATGTCCACCAAGTGATACGTATAACAGCTTTATTCATAACCCAGGATGGATAAACAGTGATCCATCATCACAATAAAATACTACTGAACAATAAAAAAAGAATGAATTTCCAAGTGAATCCCACAAACCTAAAGATGCGTGAAAGACACCAAACGCAAAGGAGTACATGCTGTCTGATTTCACTTATATCAAGTTCAAGAACAGGCAAATGAATCTGTGGTTATCACGAGGCAGGGGAGTAACAGCAAACAAAGTAAGGTTCCAAGCAAAAAATAAAATATAATAAACTGAGAAAGCTATATTAGCATTATTCACTACAATTACGTCCCCAACCTTTCTCTCTTATCTTTCTGGTTTTTGCCTTTTGTATTTTGATGCTTTTCTATCATACTTGGTGAATGATGCTTTCATGGCAAATAGCTTCAATGAACCAAAATAATCTTCCAGTAACTTTGCTTTTGTTACATGTTTGTTAGACCCCAGTAGGTGAGGCCCTGTTTTCTGACCCAGTTTAAGGGTCACATCTGTAGCACACCAGTTACCCATTTTATGTTTGTTATTAAAATGTAAAATGTTTGGCCTAATTTTTTTACTTCTCTGTGCATACTGTATATTTTCTTTATTTTAAATGCTTTTGTGTTATTCCTTTGATTTGCTCTTTCTAAATAACATTAATTGATTAGAAAGTTAAAAAACTCCTTACACTGCAAATGGAAAATATGCATTTTTTTCAGGCATCCCCAAATTAACTGCACATTAGGGCTACAATGGAACCATGAATAAGTTTCCCAAAGTAGGAAAGCATAAACATATGTTCTGCTAGGACAAAACTGAACTGGAAGGGGTAACAGCAATTTAAATTTAAAAAGTCCCACCACAGAGACACTGAAAAATATGAGTCAAAAAGGTCTTTAAAACTTCAATCACAGAAACCCTAGAAAACAACAAAAAATGAAGATGATGTCAAATATCAAAATCTTAAAACAGCTCCCCCCCAAAATCAGGAGAATGATAAAATATATCGAAAGTTGGCTCTTTAAATAAATCCACAAGTCCTCAGCTCCTTAAGTAAGGACAGGTGAGGTAAAGAGAGAGCATGCATTTACAAATTAAGGATAAGAAGGAAATAATGACACAGAAAATTAAATGAATTAAAACAGACCACTTGGGCAAACTGAACAAGTAGGAAGAAGTTCTAAAAATACCAATTACCTAAACTAGGTCAAGGAGACATTTAAAAGCCTAAGCAGGGCAATAATGGAAAAATTCAGGCCCCGGAATTTTCATAGGAGCAATTTAAATAATACAAGAATAATGAATTTAGCATCTTCTTGAATAAAAAGAAAAAAGCCCTTTTTCAATAAAGCTAGCATAATAGTGATACCAAAGCCTGAAAGCATATAAAAAAAGAGAACACTACAAGCTAATATCACTTATAAATATGAGTGAAAATCAGAAATAAAACATTTACATGGAGACTAAGGAAGTATGCTAAAAGAACAATAACAAAATGGCAAAGTGAGATCTTTGCAAGAATGCAAGGAAATCTATTAATATAATTCATTATAGGGAACTGGTTAAAAGGAAAAAGCATATGACCATCTAATTATATGCTCAAAGAGTGTTTAATAAAAATTAAGTGCACTCCTGTTTTTAAAAAGAGCAAAGAGCTTGATCTGTTTTTTTTTTCTTTTCCTACTCAACACACGCACGGCAAAGATGGCAAAAGATGAAACAGGCAATTCAGAGTAAAATAAATAGAGATGGTTAACACACATGTGAAAATGCTATTGACGTCAGTAATAATAAATGCAAAAGAAGTCAACTATGAAATCACCATCAGTTTGGCCTTGTCATCGAGGCTGGGAAGCCTGGACCAAGCACATCTCTACGAGATGGTGAAATGTATGTGAGAAGGGGAAACGTGTATGTATAATGTCTGATGCAACCTTCCTGAGAAAGAAAATGCAAGAAGTACACTTTGACTGATGATCCAAAGTGTACTTCTTGCATTTATATGAATTTATATGAAGGGGGACATCAAACTGGAGAATAGAGATGTCTACTCAAGAAAGCTCATAATGAATATTTTGTAATAACGAACATTCTGAGATACAACACAAATTTCTATCTACAAATAATGAATCCCAACAACATGTTGAGTTCTAAAAAAAAGGCAGAAGGAATCTGCAGTCTGATCCTCCAAGGATATGGTAAAATCTTAGGTGTCTGGAAGGATACGTCACTACAGTTCACAGTGGATCTCTGGATGGGTGTGTTTTGGGTGATTTTTACTGTCTACTTTTTTTTTCTTGTTTAAATGTTAGGTAATCATGCAATTAGGGTTTCCCCACACATACCAAACCTCCAGCTGCCCTTCGAGTCTGCAGAATGAAGTCAGGATTCTTCAGCCTCTCATGCAAGTTCTTGTGACCTGGCTTACGGTTACTCCTGTTCACAGGCCACATGCCCTTCGCTCCCTCGCATCTGCCTCCACATCTGAAACCTCTCTACCCACCCTCAGGGTGGGCCTGGAAGGCCTGAATCAAGGGCTCTCCATGTCACATCTGTAGCTGGTGGGCGTCTGTCTTCTCCAAGGCAGGTCTCCACCTCATGGGTCACCCACTTGAGAGGCCCGCTGTCCTGGCAGAGGTGAACTTCTTGAGGGGAGAGGCCCCCTTTCCCCTCACAGGGCCCCTGAAGCTCCTGACTTAAAGGGCTTGCTCCCAAATGTTCCCTCTGACTGAAGACATTAAATCTCCCAGTGAAGAAAGTCAAGCATTTAAACAAATGGGAAGTAGATGTTTCTGGCAAAAGCACATAAACTCCACTGGGCACATATAGACAGGGTTTCCCATTGTGTACCTAAATTATTACCAGGAACCCAACCTGCCTCTTCCATCAAGACTTCTGAATAACACATCCTAATTATCAGCATTACTGCAAGCTGCCGGGAAAGGTCAAGGTTGACTTCCCGAGACCGTCTTCCCATCGGAGCCTCCTCTCAGCACGTGGGGAGTGGGTCTCACCTGGCTCATGGTGGCTTTCAGCATCTCCAGGAGCAGCAGGGCACCTTCCGTGCACAGCCCGGCCCGGAGGACCTCTTCCTTGTGGTGCTTATGCAAGAGCCATTGCAGCATGGCGTCCAGGCTGTCCTGAAAGAGGGGGCCAGGGCTGTAAAGAGACCTGTGGCTATGTGCCAAGAGGACCAGCCCTCCAGCCAGCACATCATGTTTCCCAGGGGGCCCCGGTGGGAAAGGCAAAACCAACCACATGGCAGCAGCCCAGGCGGCTGGCCTGTTCGGGGAATTTCAGCCCCCTGATGGCGCACTGGGGAAAGCGACACCTCAGAGAGGGTGCTCACCAGCAACTGGCGTCAAGTTCAGTTCTTTTAGTTCTTTTTGGTCTGACATCACAAATACTCAATGTCCCAATCAACTTTAATGAATTCTTGTGAGTGTGATGATAGAAAGCATACAACAAATTCCAAGGCTTTGGGGCAAGTGCAGAGCACAGCAGACAGAGCACAGGGTTGATGAGCTGGGTGACCTGACTTTGCCTCTTTAAAAGCTGCGCTTATGCAACCTTTTCAGCCTCTTGGCAGTTCAGTTTCTTTCTCTGAAATGAAAATTATATTATCTACCCCATGGGGTTGTTGAAAATATCAAACGATATAAAACATGTAAAAACATCTATCATGGGTCCTGACATTCAGCAAATGTTTGTTTCCTGTAATACGTTCTTAGAAAAATAAAAATACAGGGTTTCTATGAATTTGGGACAGTATATTAAGAACTTTACTTTGAAGTGTGATCTGTAATACTATTGGCATATATCGATTGAACTAGGTCAAATATGAGGATGTGCAAGAGGTGAATTTTCTAGCCTTCTATTTGCAAAGCCATGACCCTCCATCCATGTC